TAGATAGAGAAGAAATAAAAATAAATTTGTATGCAGACGACGCAGTAGTCCTCATAGGTTCAATGGAGAATTCGGTAATTGAAGTAACGAAAGAAATTAAAAAATTCGAAAAGATCTCAGGCTTAACAATTAATATTGAAAAATCAGAAATCCTACCTAAAAACATGAACTGGAAGGAGGTGAAAGAAGTCCAATCTATTCTAGGGGTCAAACTGGGGGAAAAGAAGTTAAAATACTTAGGAGTGTATATACCTAAAAATCTAAATAACATAATTCAGATAAATTATAACCAACTATGGAAGAAAATAAGCAAACAGATTAACAATTGGAAAAAATGGAATTGGGATATAACAACAAGGGTGAAGACATATAAAATGATGATACTGCCCAAACTTTTGTACTTATTTCAATGCCTTCCATGTAGCATTCCTCCCAAAATAATAAAGAAATGGGATAACTCAATTAAAACATGGGTAGTAGGTTCTAGTAAAACCAGAATTGCAAATTCAATTTTTTATACTCCACAAGAAAATGGAGGTTGGGGAGCACCTTGCCTCCAGAACTATTACGAAGCCTGTCAATTGGCTAGGTTACTTGAATTAGATATCGGTGAGCCCAAAAGATGGGTTAGGTTAGAGAAATTAACAAACGGGTGGGAATATGGATCTTGCATTATGGGGAAAATTGGGGGAAAAGAACTAAAAAACATAAAAGGAGGCCCCTTGTCATTAACAATGACTTGTTGGGGAAAATGGCAAAATAAACTCCCAGTAAATAAAATAGACAAGCTCCCAATAGGTTCCTTAGACAACAGAAAACCCCAGCTATATCGCAACATGCTAAAGAAACTGGAACAAAACGGAATAACAAAGATTGAGGACTTACTAAAACCAGACGGGACTGTAATTCAATGGGAGGAAATAAAAGATAAATGCGGGCTCGGAAATTGGTTACAATGGGAACGGCTATCTAAAAATCTAACAGATTTGAAGACTAAGGAAGCCTAAGAAACAAATCTTGACAAAATAATAAAATGGAAAGTTGAGAAGGAGAAAGAAATCATGGGATTTATATACAAAATAATGACAGAAATATAATATAACACAAAATCTACCCTAAGTTTGGAAGGAGGAATTAAGTTGCAGTGAGAGAGAAATAGACAATTGGATGAATTCAAACAATAAAATAAAACACCTAAAGATTAAAGAAATGCAACGAAAAATACTGACAAAATGGTACAGAACTCCTGTGCAACTGGCGCATATCACAAAAACGTGCCCAAAATTATGTTGGCACAACTGTGGTAAAATAGGAACATATGCCCACATGTGGTGGGAATGTGAAAAAATCCAAAAGTTCCAAGAAATAATCAGGAAAGAAATGGAGGAGCTATTAGGGATCAAGATAGAATGGAATAAGGCCCAATTTTTCACTCAGAAATTTGAAAGTAAAGAGGAATATAAGGAAAGTGAGGAAATAATAAAACATATGATAGAGGGAATTAAAGCCTCAGTGGCCCTGGGCTGGAAAGACCACAAGAAATGGGATACAAAAACCTGGTACAAATATTTAGCAGATTACCTTCTTCAAGATTATATTAGCGAAAGGAAAAGTTACTATATGACGGGTCAAAGCAAAAAGACATGGAAAGCAAAATGGAAGGGTCTCATATATAGAATAAAGGGGAAAGATAAATATACGGTGTTGAACAAAACTATTCTCATGATTGAACAATTGTAATAAACACAGCTAAAGTATTTATTTGTTCCCGGGGTGGGGGGGGGGGGGGTGCTGGTGGCGGGATTGGGGAAAAAACTGGTATTTTGAATGTTATTTTCAAAGATGGTATGTTTCTATGTATTATACAATAATAATAATAAAATTTTAAAAAAGTAAAAAAAAAAGCATCTAGTTGTTTTCATTTTATTTCATTTTTGTGGATTTTAGAGAAGACTGGTACTCTACTGCTAGTTATAACAAGTGTTTTTCTTCCAAAAGATATCAAGGTCCAGTTGTTGGTTTTAACTAGAGTAGAACCACTGAATTGCTGACAATTCGGTGCATCAACACTTACATAAGTTGCATAGGTTCATGAAGCCACTAACAACTGGGTTGAAATTTAAAAGCATTCCACTATGTTAGGGTGCACCCGGTTCAATGATTATTTACAGCATTTGGTGACTAACTAGCTATACAGAAAGGTCATTTAATGAAGCATGTTTGTGCTGTACCTATCAAATGTGAAGTCATTTTAAAAACATGTCTCTGTCCAAAAGCCAGAGCTTTGGACTGAGTTCTAGTCAGACTGGTCCACTATCCACACAGACTATTGCCAACATTTATTTTCCCCTATATTCATCAACACAGGGAAAAGGGGTGGGTTGGATTTGTGTTGCCGCTGTCACTGTTATCAGACAGCCATAAAGCTCCATGAGAACTCCTGGTCATCACAGGTGACAGCATCCTGACTACACTTTCCTGGTTGTGTGAGAACCTCTGTTGATGCCAGCACCCACAATGACCAGGAGTTTTCATGGAGCTCTGCAGCTGACTGGGAATGGACACGGATGGTAAAGGAGATGGTCCAATGGGACTGATGCACTTTCAGCCTGGCTTGATGTCTGGCCTCTGCTCCATTACAGCCACAGGCTGGGGAGTCCGTGTGGCCACCTCTCAGGCCATTTCTGCTCCAGACTGGCACTTTTTCCAAAAGAAACTCTTGATTTTTTTCCCTCATGGCTTCATAATTTCCATACATCTCACCCTGGCCAATGTAAATGAAACCTAAGTGGCTTCTATTCTCTCAACTTCTTCACTCTGACTGACTCCACTAAAAAGTTGCTTGAACAATACTGGCTATATGGATAGACTTATTGTCAGCATTACTGTGTCAAACAGGGATACGTTATCACCCCAACTTTATTTTCTATCTTCATCGCTATGATACTTTATCTTATTAATGGGAAGCTTCCCACCGGCATGGAAATCACCTATCGGACAGATAGCAAGCTATTTAACTTCAGTAGACTGAAAGCCAAAACTACAGGCTCCGAACTGTGAGAGCTGTTCAGCAGTGGAACTCTCTGCCTCAGAATGTGGTAGAGGCTCCTTCTTTGGAGGCTTTTAAACAGAGGCTGGATAGCCATCTGTTGGGGGTGCTTTGAATGTGATTTTCCTGATTCTTGGCAGGGGGTTGGACTGGATGATCCACGAGGTCTCTTCAAACTCTATAATTCTATGATTCTAAGGTTACAACAGCATCTGAACTTCAATATGCTGATGATAATGTAGTCTGTGCGCATTCAGAAAAAAGACCTACAAGCCCCTGTAAACACATTTGCAGAAGCATATGAGAAGCTCGGCCTGTCACTGAACATTGAGAAGACCAAAGCGCTCTTCCAGCAGTCACCAGTCAATCCCTCTGCAATGCCAGAAATACACCTTAATGGTGTAACATTAGAAAATGTTGACCATTTCCACTACTTTGGCAGCCACCTCTCCACAAAAGTCAATATTGACACTGAAATACAACACTGCCTGAGCTCTGTGAGTGCAGCATTTTTCCAAATGAAGCAGAGAGTGTTTGAGGATTGGGACATCCGTAGAGATACCAAGGTGCTTTTTTACAAAGCTATTGTCCTCCCAACCCTGCTATATGCCTACAAAATGTGGAATGTTTACAGACATCACACTTAACTCCATCGGTGTTACCTCCGAAAAATCCTGCAAATCTCTTGGGAAAATAGGCGGACAAATGTTAGTGTGCTGGAAGAAGCAAAGACCACCATCATTTAAGCGATACTCCTACGCCATCAACTCCACTGGACTGGCCATGTTGTTTGAATGCACAATCACCGTCTCCTAAACCAGTTACTCTACTCCCAACTCAAGAATGGAAGATGAAATGTTGGTGGACAGGAAAAGAGATTTAAAGATGGGCTTAAAGCTAACCTTGAAAACTGCGGCATAGACACTGAGAACTGGGAAGCTCTGGCCGGCACGAATGGAGGGCAAAAGGGAGAAACGTGTCAAGAGAAAGGCGCATCAAGCCAACCCTGACCAAGACCATCTTCCACCTGGAAACCAATGTCCTCACTGTGGAAGAATATGTGGATCAAGAAAAGGGCTCCACAGCCACCTACGGACCCACCAGCAAGGCAATACATGTGGGATCAACGAGGGATCACCTAAGTAAGCGTAAGCATTACTGGGAACATGTTGTAAGTACAGCACTCACAATAAGAGCAAAAAACATATGAAGAGCACTGCTGGATCAGACCAGAGACTAATCTAGCTCAGCATTCTGTTCTCATGGTGTCCAAACAGACATCTTTAGGAAATCCAAAAGAAGAATATGAAGGCACCCATTATCTATTCAGATGTGATGTCCAGGAATGTTGACTGCTGTTTTATATGTGTGCCATATTAGTGAAACCAGTCACTGCAATCTTACTGGTAATTCATAAAAGCACCCTAATTCATCAAGAAAATAATGATTCTTCCAAAGAATCTCTATGAAAGGGTTCTCCTTCTCCATATGATATAGTTTGTTATCATTTCAGAATGTACCAACTAAACTGAGATTGATGTAACAGGTTCAGTCTGGATGAGCATTCTGATGAAATAATACTGCATTTCTCCCATAGTTAAATTGAATGTAACATAGAAGTTCAAGCTGCAGGACTAAATGTTATTCCCCCAACAATGATCAGTTTTTGCTGGAAGCAAAGAGGATGACTGAACAGGAAACAGAAGATCTATAAACATCCCACTTTCCAGCAACTTCATCTCCGGCCATGCAGCGGAAAGACCAAGGTTGGCTTGGCGACAGAAATTGGCACTCTTCTGTTAAACTGGCAGAACAATTAGCTTGCATTCAATCAGCTTTCGCTTTGCCACAAATATTCCTTCCATCTTTTCAGGCAACATGAATCTCACCTCTCTCTCCCCCGCCTCCCCTCCTGATTTGGAGCCTCACATACCACTGTCCCAAAGGAGTCAGTCTGTGTGGCAGCTGCTGCATGTTCAGCTGGCTTCATATGCAGTCACCCACTGTGTGAAGTTGCTAGGAGAAGGTGAATAGTCTCAATTAGAGCACGCTCCTTCAATAGCAACCTGTAGAGCTCTCTAATTTCCTTTTACGCGGGTGATCTGCACTCACCAGTGCCAGCAGCTTTCCATTGATTCATCTCACAAGGCGTTTCTTTTTGTTTGTTCTTCAAGGAGCAATTCAAGATCCACTCAAAAAAGACGAAAGCGGCAGTATTTAGGCAGATGCTTCCTTTCACAGGGCGGGTGCAGACTTGGGATTGGTTTATCCCACCTGCTTCCTGATAGCATTTTGTGCTGAGAACGGGCATCTTTCCCTGCCTCCTGGACCAGTTAAGATGATCAGCCAGAGATTCCTGGACATTTTGAGAGCAACTAAACTCCAGCGACTGAACTGAGACAAGTGGTGAAAAGTGTGTAGGAAGGAGCGGGGGGAGGACAGAGCAGTGAGCGGTACATTTTCTGCTTCACTGGATTAATCTTTGATTTTGAGGTCAGGAGAGCTGTGTGCTTAAGGGGCCGGTGTAGCAGTGGGGAGGGGGGGACGAACAGTGAGAGTGCGGATTTGGCTAGCCAAGTGAATAAGCAATCGAAGCAGACGCTTCCCTCGGCCCTTCTGTAATCCTGATAGGTTTCGAGAGAGATGAGAGCAGCTGCTACCTAACATGTGTGGATCGTCTGACATCTGTGCTGGACTGGAGAAGGCTTTCCCTCTCTGTTGCTGCTGAATCTGACACCAGTTCTGTCACTGCCGCGGGACAGTGGCCACCATGGGCTCCACAGGTACTGAGAGAAATGAAGGAATGGACAGCGCTCTGCTGAAGTATCCGATAAGAGGGCACACCGAGAAAATGTGGCAACGTCTGAAAGGGATGTGAGTACAGCACTTCTCCACTTTATTAGCTCCTGCCTTTCCAAAGCAGTTGTTCTTTCAGAATATGATGAAAGGGGAAAAAATGCTTTGGCAGGCTGTTTAATAGTGCTGCTTAGTAAGTCATTGGGCAATAAGCTGGGGAAAAATGTAATGTGTTGTTGTGGGTCTTTTTGTTGTTGAAAACACAATATACATTGCACAAGGTATGTCTGGATAGTATGAAACTACTGTCCACTTTCTTACCAAATTTGCCTCTTAGACACTGGGGTTTTTTTTTCCATGTCAGGAGCAACTTGAGAAACTGCAAGTCGCTTCTGGTGTGAGAGAATTGGCTATCTGCAAGGACATTGCCGAGAAGACGCTCAAATGTTTGATGTTTTTGCCACCCTTGTGGGAGGCTTATCTCATGTCCCTGCATGGGAAGCTGGAGCTGACAGAGGAAGCTCAACCCACTCTCTGTTGGTCAGCAGTTCTGCCAGCACAAGGGTTTAAGCCATTGCACCACGGGGGCTCAGGCACTGAGTGTGATGATACTTTTTCTCCCCATGTGCTGGGTGACTGGTGTCAAGATTTCTGGAAGAAACAAACACTTTCTGTAGTGAAACTAGGTGTCTTGGGACAGGTTGGTGATAGGTCTTTGCAAGTTTACTCATGTAGGATACCATTTAAAACATTTAAATGGTTCACTTTGTGGGTGAGGCTTGTCCAGTATTTCCTTCCTATTCAAAACAATGCTTCTCTCTTCTCTGCTCTGCTTTGCTCTGCTCTTCACTTCTCTTCTCTGGCATATAGTAAGCTCAGAAGTCATTTCATGGATTCTTTCAGACCAAGATTTTCCCAGCTGATTTATTTGTGGTGATTGGTGTGCACGCGTTCACAATGAATAAATAAGAGAAATAGGCTCAAGGAAACATCACAGTGCACTCCTACCTCCATGACCATTAAGTGCATGGAGAAGACAGGATGGAGTAACCTGCAGAGATCTTAGAAGGGATCAAACTGAACATTTTTGGTTGGACAGGATGTGGTGATATAAAGACTAATAAGCATGGAGGAACTGACTCTTTAAAAGGGTCTCTTTTTTGCTATACATAATAACTTTCTTTAGAGAAGTTCATTTTTCCACGTTAGCAACCATATGGTGGTCTGTACCCAGAGTGAAGGCAAAAAAGCTATTTCACGCATGCAGGTTCATCTATGGGTAACCATACTACTGCAGCATTGTTTACAGTGTGTGAATGTAACATTCGTGACTGTAATTCTCCAGTCTAATGCTTTGTAAGGAAAGTGGTTGATTTGTGCAACCACAAAGTGCAGAGAATTCTGAATGAGATTTGAATTTCAGTCTGCTATCCAGAGGGAATCCTAAAACTAGAAACTTGACTAACTCATTTACATAGTTTACTAATAAAGGTTTCAGTCTAAGAATGCTGGGTCAGTTCTATGGAATCTTGGGAACTGTACTTTGGTGAAGCACCAGCATTATTTGGCAAAGAAGGCGAAAGACTAGGCTTGTGCAGTTTGGCTGGAGGATGATCTGTTTTTGGTATCCAAATTTCGTTGGGTGCCCAGATCCATTTTTGGGAGCCTCCCGAAAATCAGCTTATGGAAAAATCTGTTTTCAGCTAGGCAGCCAAAAGATCTGGGAAGATCTGGCCCATTGGTGACAATGGGGAACTTATGTGGCTCCTCTATCTGGTCATGGGATTCTTCCCTTTCTTCCTTTCAAGGGGGCCTGGGTTTGAGGAATGGGGTTATGGAAGCATTTGCTGCGTGCTCCCGAATAGAAGGGAAGAAGCAGCTCCTGGCAACCATGTGGGCCGTTTTGGCTGAAAAAAAACATGGTGCACCTAAATGCAGATGATGCCCAACTCTACTACTCCTTTCTACTTAAAGCCAAGGAAGCTATACTGACCCTAAACCAGTGCCTGTCATCAGTAATGGACTGGATGAGGGCAAACAAATTGAAACTTAATCCAGACAGACAGAGGTACTTCTCGTTCGTCGGAAGGCAGATTAGGGAATAGAGATCCAACTTGTGCTGGATATGGTAACGCTCCCCCTGAAAACACAAGTTTGCAGTTTGGGGGTCTTCTTGGACTCAGCACTGAACCTGGAGGCCCAGGTATTGGCAATGGCTGGGAGGGCCTTTGCACAATTAAAACTTGTGTGCCAACTATGCCCGTTCCTTGAGAAGCCAGATCTGGCCATGGTAGTACACCTGTTACAGCCCATCTGGATTACTGTGATGTGCTCTACATGAGGCTGCCTTTGAAGAGTGCTCAGAAACTTCAGCTGGTCCAAAGAACTGCAGCCAGGTTGCTCACTGGGGCTGGCTACAGGGAGCAAACAATCCCCTGTTGCAGCAGCTCTGTTGGCTGCCAATCTGTTTCCGGACACAATTCAAAGTGCTAGTTATGATCTTTAAAGTCCTAGACAGTTAAGATCTAGTCTATTTGGCTGACCACATCCCCTTATACAAACCTGCTTGGGCCCTGAGATCTTCAAGAGAGGCCCTTCTCTCGGTCACACCTCCATCTCAAGCTCTGTTGATGGGAATGAGAGAACAGGCCTTCCTCTTTGGTGGCTGCCCCATAACTCTAGAGCCCCCTTCTTCCCAGGAAAGCCAGAATGGCCCCATCTCTGCTATCTTTCTGGACAGCAGGGATGGGGCCTGCTGTCCAGAAGAAAGGCTTTCAAAGAAGAAGGTGTTTAAGACCATCAAGGGCTGCTATGATTTTGTGATGTGAGTTTATATGCGTTTATGGTTTTTACCTGGATTGTTTTAATACTAATGTTGTTTAATACTGTTTTAATAATTGTATATTTGTATATTTTAAGTTGTACTAAAATGTTTTTAGTTGTGAACTGCTTTGAGTTTCTGTATAGAGAGAAAAAGCAGGATACAATACAATAAAAAACAATACTTTATTACGATCAAAGTACAAAGCGGGGCACAAGCGCCCTGGAAAGGGAAACCCAGCTCCAAAGTGAAGCAGTTATTAAAAAGCAGATTAGAAAACAGTTTAAAATCACAATTTAAAACACAGGTTAATGTAACAGGTATGGAACCAAGGGGGGGGGGACTGATAGGGGTGAACACACTTGGGGGAGGGCACTAAAGGGGAAGGGAGGGGCACATTACAAGTCTACTAGCATTTTAGCTGTAACACATTGCTCTAACTTCATTCCCAGCAGGGTGTTGCCTTATGGTCAATCATCATCCATCTAATTTTAAGTGCTGCAGCACAAAACTTAGCAACACTATAAGTTATTATAGTGCTAGAGACCAAAAGAAGGATATAAATAAACATAGTAAATAAATAAATACATAAATAAATAATACTTGTGGGACTGGTACCCAAGGTTTCACCAACCTGTATCAGACAAAGTATGTCCTCTTTAGGAATGATCTAAGTCCTCCAGGTGATATTATGATAGACTTCCACCAGAATCTTCATAGAGTTGTGCTGATGATCTAGAAAATGTCTGGAAATGATACCTCTAAGAATTTTCTATATATTCTAGGGTTTTTTTCATGTCAGGAGTGACTTGAATACTTTTAGTATTCTTGTTATAGTTTTATATTATGTGTTAATGTTTTTTAATTTTTTTATGGTGTTTTGGGGCATTGAACAATTGCCATTGTAAACTGCCCTGAGTCGCCTAAGGGCTGAAAATGGCTGAAAAGGGCAGTATAAAAATATAGCAAATAAATAAATAAACTGCAACTTGCTTCTGGTGTGAGAGAATTGGCTGTCTGCAAAGACATTGCCCAGGGGATGCCCGGATGTTTTGATGTTTTACCATCTTTGTGGGAGGCTTCTCTCATGTTCCCGGATGGGGAGCTGGAGCTAACAGAGGGAGCTCATCCATGCTCTCCCTGGATTCGAACTTCCATCGGTCTTCAGTCCTGCTGGCACAAGGGTTTAATCCATTGTGCCACCGGCTGCTCCCGTTTTCTAGGGTGACTGCAAGTCATTAATATCAGTAGGCAGAGGCAGACCTAGGTAATTTTCAATGGTAAGCAAACAGTATTTTGGCGCCCCCCCCCCCAACCAATCACTGATATATATTTCCTGTTCTGTTCATCGTGGGAGTTCTGTGTGCCATATTTGGTTCAATTCCATCATTGGTGGAGTTCAGAATGCTCTTTGATTGTAGGTGAACTATACATCCCAGTAACTACAACTCGCATATGTCAAGCTCTATTTTCCCCCAAGAGCACCTCAAGAGCCCCCCTGGGCAAAATCAACTATACTGCAAATGCTTACTTTGCGTAATGGGATGAGCCGCCCCGTCAGTAGGGTTCTCTGTTATCCAGAGTTTCTGCAGTTCAGGAATGTATCACATTTGGATATAGATGCATTGTTTAAAACACAGGTTAATGTAACAGGTATGGAACGGTATTGTATACACCTGTATTAGGGATATAGAAATCATTCCGTTTAAATTTTATTATATGCATCCAAATACTACCTCATTTTCATCATTTTTTTTGAGTTGAAAGATGTTCCTTGTGTCTTTCCATTTTATTCATTCCCATTTTAAAATGAGTGTACAATATGATCACACTTCATTTCTCAAAAAAGCCCCAGAAACCTGTGAAATATGCAAATTCTTGAGGTGCATTTCCACTCATTCTTGGGCAGTGTGAAAAAGGCTGCTTTCTCGAGACGGTGAAATCCAAGGGAGTCCTTTCCCAGCCCTCATCCCTATGCACCTTGAGCATGTCTGCTTCTTCCAACATCTCATCAGGAGAGCAAAGGACAGCCATAACTGTGAACTGTGATGTTCACAGCAGCTATTTACTAATCACAGTTTCTTCCCCGGAGCCCAGCGTTCCTGTAACTCAGTGGCAATTCTACTGTATATAGTAAAATCCCATGCAGGCTTATTGGTGATCTGAGAGGTGAGAATGTGACAGCTTCTTCTACAGCCTGCAAATTGGTTTAAACACATCTTTTAACATCTTGGGTTAGTAGCTTATTTTACAGCAC